GTCCTTTGGGAATGCGAAAAACGAAAGCCCACAGCCCACTCGATTATTACAGCCGCAGAAAGCACACAAACGTGGCATGCTAACTTGTTATTGTATCCAAGTTGTACTAACTAATGCTCATACAACAATTACATTTGATTTTGCAAAAACTGAAGTCCACCAAGCAGCCATCTTGGTAACGCATCCGGGCAGTTACAGCGCCTTCACGGCGTGTCGGAAAAATAAGATTCCTGCTGTTCCAAGTAGACTGCTGCTTTATAACACATTCACCTGTTCAGCATGCTGCAAGAGTCTGACTGACCCTTCATTTCTTTAGAAATAGATGCAGTGGTTTACTAAAACGTGCAAGTATAGCAAACATAAATGCAAAATATAATGAGGCATAAAACGATAGTATATATTTAATTATATGGAGTCCGCCGGTGACTAAGAATTTCTTGGTGCAAAGTATTCTGTATGCTTTGAATACAAATTCAATGTGAAGTTCTTATTGTGTTCCAAATATAGTAATTTGCAGGATAGCTTAAGCTTTTCAACTGTGAAATGTTCAATATCTTTTTAATGCATGTGTCTCAGATCCCAATTCATTTTGATAAGAAAGACCAGTATAATTCAGGCTTTTAAGTCTTTGTGATAATGTGAAACACTGAAGCACGGCCGTTTCAGTGTGCAAACAAATAAATAAATTATGTGATAAATTAAACTAAAATCTATTAGCAATCATATACATGTCCAAACTTTGAAACATAAAAATGTAAGCAAATTGGAGATGAACGACCTCTGCACACATTTAACAAAATTTGTTGTAAATGGAGTCCCATCTGGAAACTTAAGTTTTAATACAACCAACATTTTCCAAGAGTGTCACAAGATCAAAATAATATGTATGATACTGTAAACGATGTAACCTGTCCTTCACAGCAGTACTGGATACATCTGCCCAAAATCGTCTACAGATATCATGACATCACTGCAATTTGTTAAACCCCCGATCATTTTTAAATGAAAGTGTTAATTTTTAAATGAATGTCACACTAACTAAAAGCCTGAGGGCAAAAAAACAAAACCATAAACAAGCTTATTTCGTTTATTTATTGAAACTAAAAAATAAAAAGAACAAGCAGGTAATAATGTGACTCAAGCAAACAGAGGTACAGATACAGATAATACATTTAAAAAGGTCACTTTTAATTTTAATTATAAAACCCAGAAGATGAATAAACGAAGGAACTCTCACACGCACGCACACACCTGTGGAAGCTACACTACTGCACTCCACAGACGAGCAGTTTGTCCAGCCTGCTGCCTGTTGGGAATTATTCATGTTTGGAGAACAGACTGAAGCCCTGTCCCTCAACATCAGCTGGATACATTTCCACAGGTCATCGTCGCTGCCGACAACGAGAGGTCGCACGCACCGCTGGGTCATAGCGAAGGATGTGAGTTAGGCTCCAGAGCAGTCATCACAAAGCTTCACGTGTATATCAATATGACGCACAAAAACCTCCAAGCATTCCCAGCGACAAGAAAAGAAACCCTATAAAAGTCCTGTCCACCTCCACAGACGAACACAGTGACGGAACAAAAACCCTGCTTTTATATCTACGACTTCTTTCAAGCATTATAAAGTATGAGCTCTATGTACATGATTCAAAGCATGAAGTCTATGATTCAGCACTGCAGAATAGAATTCAAATAACACTGTGTCTTTATCTGGTGATTCACCGGAGTAGCACAAATGAAGCTCTGGTGTCGTTGGCCCTGTGATTCTGAGGACAACTTAATAAAGGTAAGTTTTCTCCAACAGACACAAAAAGACTTATTCGTACTACACGAAGCTCTAAACCATCCTCAGATCTCATCAGCGTGCACAGTTACAGCTGGAAGGGAGGTTTGGACTCCTGTGCAACACCGCAAACTACAAACACTAACCAAGAAGCAAATGGGATCATTGGACTGGACAGAATATAACCATTAATATACATGATAATCCAAAGAGGAAGGGAGATTTGTTTCACTTCAAACTTCTGCTTAAATTAAGGTTGAGCTACTACACAGCGAGCACCCTGAGCTCTGTGCACATCGTTTCAGATGTTTTAAGCTCAATTTAGCCATTTCTCTGCTCTTTGGTGAGACTGAGGGTACTCTTCATGATGCAATCACTGCATTTCCTCACACCAACTCCTCCAGCTGCTTTTAAGGCTGCTTTTAAGGCTGGAAGATGTTGATGGAGGGGGAACCATCTGCAGGCCAATGATTATTCACTGACATACGGAGAAGCAACAATGCCTGATCAGCACCTTGTGAAGCTGAACATGAATAAAAATATTTAAAGCTGCAAAAT